GACCTTCGTGCATCCAAGACCGAGGAGAGATCAAGCGAGAGGGCTCCTCTTGCTTGCGATGTCCAAAGTCGACCGAGCAGAAGTGAGCACAGGACCTCCTCCTATGTGTTTTTGGAAAGAGCCAAGAGTCCCCTCTCATGTGGGGACAGGGACAAGCAAGAGTGCAAGACCTGTACTCCCTCTTATAATCGGACCAGAGGGATCAGAGGCTTTGCGTGCGCCTATACTGGCCTATCGAACAGGAGTCTGCTCAGGTGGAGTCGGATGACCTAGAAAGGAGGACATCAGCGAGTTCAGTGTTAAGTTGCTTGAAGTGTGTGTTTCTACTCCTGTCCTTGAAGCTTGTTGCACCCCTACAAAATTTTTTTTCCTTTTTTACTATCGTGCCTTTATTGTCGGCCTTCCCTTGAAAATTGCGAGGGAGATGAAACCAAAGGATACTTAATCCACTATTCTTATTGTCCCACCACTGGCCTTTATTATCATTTCTGGTATCTTGAGGGCTATTGTTCAACACAGCCTTCATTGCTGCTCTACACCTTGCAAGCTTGATTGATAAAGCCTTCATCACTATCATTTGTCGCTATCACAATGTCTGAAGCTAATTCCTCTTAAGGTTTTGACCAAATGAAGGACTCTATGGTGCACCAAGGGACTTGATAATTATACTTTTTTCCGACTAATTACCAAGCTGAGAATGATAGATCTGTATTCCCTAACTTGAGGGCTAGTGTTAAAATCTCAGCCATCTCTTGACACTTGATCCCATGACCAAGATGGGAATTCGTGGGAGGATCACCTGAATCATGCTGATCTTTGTTAAATCCCAGCCGTCCCTTGACACCTGATCCCACGACCAGGACGGGAATCCGTGGAGGCTCACCTGGATCACGCCTATCTTTTTTTATATTTGGGTTGCTGATTTGAGAAGGATTATATTAACGCAATTATGCATGATTCTGTAGTTATTTATTACTTTATTAAGATATCTTGTATAGATCTATAAATAGAGATAACTTTGTATAATAAAATTAAGGAAAGTTTACATACATACCACTATATAGTTATCATTTTACATATCTAACACCTCCTTTATTAATATTACACTTAAACCACTCAAATCTCTATTTCACAACATTTCTACCACTCCGTCTCCACGGACGCTAACGACGTCATCTCCATGGTTCGGCAGCCGCCTACCGTGGTCGCTTGCCATCCTCGACCTTCATCGTACGTCTATCTTCGGGGAGATACCTTACCCTCCCGGCGGAGCCACTGGCCTCACGGTGCTCTCCATCGCGGAAAACTCAGTCACCGGCAGCATCCCTCCCACACTAGGCAAGTTGAAAAATGTCTCATTTCACGATCTCTCCCGGAACTTGCTCTCTAGCGATGTGCCCGCAGAGTTTACAGGCATCGAAAATGTCACTTACCTCGACCTCTCCTCTAATTTTATCACCGGAGTAGTACTGTCGGAGATCGGAGACTTGTCGAACTTGAGAACCTTGATTCTTACTAATAATAGCTTCACTGGCTCCATTCCTCCAGAGCTAGGGAACGTCTCTTCCATCTTTACACTTGATCTTAGCTTCAATTCGCTATTTGGTGCGTTACCTTATAAATTGAGTAATCTTAGGAATTTGTTACATCTGAAATTGGGGATCAACTTCCTCAATGGATTTCTAAGTTCGAATATCTTCTCTGGTTTGTCAGTGCATGAGTCGATCACATTGAGCCGAAACAACTTCTCCGGCGAGCTTCCAGAGTCGCTGTGGTCGCTCTCGAAGTTGCGATTCCTTGATATCTCCTACAATAACTTCACGGGCAGTTTGCCGGAGCACTCCTCTACCATGAACCATGGAATAGGACGTCGTTAGCGTGCATCTCCACGGAGTGGTAGAAATGTTGTGAAATAGAGATTTGAGTGGTATAAGTGTAATATTAATAAATTAGGTGTTAGATATGTAAAATGATAACTATATAGTGGTATGTATGCAAATTTCCCTAAAATTAAGCCTTTCCCTCTCCAATTCTTTGAATTTAACACTGACTAATGACACCAAATTAAATTTAATTAATGTATAAAATTATCAATATAGATGAATTAGAGCTGACTGAGAATTATAATGTGAGGCACTTTACACAGGCATCCCATAACTAATATATCCCTTATAAAAACTAAAATTGTATTTACAAAACAAAAATATTCATTGAGCGAAAGAAAGCGATGCCAAAAACAAAATAAGAAGGGACAAAAGCTCAAGAAAAATGATTTATGAAGTAAAATCACGACACATTGGGGTAAAAAAGAAATGAATTCGAAAATTGAGAGAGCGAATAACCTATAAAGTCAATTGTTGATCCATCTTCAATAGTGACCACAGAAATAGAAGCTCCCAAGTCTAGGAGTAACTGCATACTCTCAAGATGCCCATTCAAAGCTGTCATATGAAGAGAAGTGATGCCTCCATCTGCTTTTTTGTTCACTACCTCGAGCAGGGAACTGATAAAAATAATGAACATGTAAAGCTTGCTATCCCACCAAAACAGGTATCAAGAAGAAAGGATGAAAAATCAGCCTACCCCTCATCAAATTCTAACGTAGGATCATCAGTGTTTGACCTCCTCATAATGTTCCAAAAGCTAGGTAAGCTTGGAACATAATCAACAAGGAGAAGACGAATGCAACGGCTGTGACCATTTAGAGCTGCAAAGTGAAGAGCTGTTCCTCCATTGATATAATCTGTTCTTTGTATCTATATTACAATAACCAAAGATTGCCCAAAGAGTAAGAAAATATGTAGGGAAGAAAACAAGCATTCAAAGCCACAATCACAAAAAATACAGAGGAAAAACAGGAAAACTAACATTAGCCTTGAAAAGCATTAGAATTTGAACCACCTCCCAGTGACCAAATTGACAAGCTTGCATCAAAGCAGTCTGTGGATGACACAAAAGGCAGATAAGCTAAAGGTAATTCAGAAAATTTACTCAGCAAACAAATTCAAAGCACATTAACACTTAGCAAAAACATCATTAACAAAATAAATGCTTTGTATTCAAAGCTTATTGAGCACTAAAATGCTAAAATAACCTCATTTTGCCACATAGATTAAGCATAAAATCTTATGAATAAGTTTAAGAGAAACATAAATTGAAATACCATATTTGAGTATAATCCATCCATTTCAACATATGATACACTCTAATTTAATAAAGAACACCATCAGCTAAGAAAACAAGTATCTCAACAAGAAATAGGGAAATTCTCACCTGCCCCCTGTAGTTCCTTAGGTTAATATCCACGCCGGATTCAAGCAACAGGGATACAATCTACATACAGGGTATAAGATTTAATGAAATTATTAATTAATTTAACTTCATAACTGGAAAGAAGAACATATGAAGTTTGAGAAAATTACCTCATGGTGACCCTGAGCAGCAGAATGATGCAAAGGAGAATTCCGGACACCAAAAGTAGAGTACCTAGCAAGACGAGGATTATATTCCAATAGAGCTTTTGCTTCCAGAAAATCCCCATCTCTTGCAGCAGAGACCAGTCTCTCTCCAGACGCCGAACACCCAAATGAATTGCCCATGATACTTAGAAATCTCATGTTCGCCAAACAATCAAAAACCTAGCTAAACTGAAATCTCGCTTTTCCCCTGCAGAAAAGTTCCAATTTTTTCTCAAAGAAACAAGAACCAGTGAAATATTCTCCAATTGCGCAGGAATACCCTGAAACAAAGACATGGATGTTCTATTACAGGTTCTTCAGCCTAAATTAATTCAAAACAGACCGAAGAAGCTCAGAGCGAGGCCAAGATTCTTCTTTTAGCACAGAAGGAATCACTTTCCCGGGATAGAAGAGATAACCTACAGCGGAGAACTGAACCAATTATCGAGAAATTCAGAAGTTCAGGCCCTCCAAGTCGGAAACTTTCTTCGATAAAATTAGATCAAGCTTCAACAACGCAATGACCGATTTGTGGTCGAGCGAGAAATAATGAAATATCATAAACGGTTTTCAACCGATGAAAACGCGACATGCTTCCAAAACCTTATAAACAATTCCAAATTGGATTAAGAAGATAAAGGGAAGGAAAATAAAGTAACATTACGGGTACAAAATTGAAAATTTGCAGTGATCGGGAGGGTACCGATGGAAAACGAAACGAATTGACAGAATGACAAAACTAGAGGTTTTTTTTTTTTAAACTAAAGAATTGCTCGGTTAGATGAAGATCTTTTATTTTTTTAATGAAGTAAATATTTATATATTAGGGAAATTTCTTCCACTAGAAATAGTTGAAACAAAGTACTACAAATGAGTTGTTTATTATTTTATTTTACTTAATAGTTATAATTAATATTATTTTTATCATTATTATTATTTGAATCATAAAAATTATGATAAAAAAATAGGGATATACAACCCAAAATCTCACAACAAGAATAAATATAAAATCATAAGAAAATAAAATCCGAGCCAAAAAAGATTGATACATTATCAAAAAATTTCATGATTGAGCACGAATCTTGAGGCAAAATAAAATTGGAAATTTCTAAAATTAAAATTGGGATCATATGAACTCCGATTTCAACAAACTTATAGTCAAATTGAATGTCTCGAAAATATGAATCCAACGACACCAAATTCCACTCAATCCGAGCTCAAATGGGTCCAAATCAAGGACCTGAAGCATTATTGGAAGGTTAAACCACAATTTGGATTACAAACGGTTTCCAAATGTGACATGTTTATAATCAAATCAAGCGGCTTGACGAGACAAATCTAATGAGCCCAAGATCACTGAATTCCAACATCATTAAGACATTCAAATCCCCAACAAACGTTCTGTGATCGAGAGATTCAACATCGGTCGTCTATCCAAACCACTCCTCATTTACTTTTGATCTTCCTCCTATTTATGAGTCATGCCACTCTAAAAAATCTATAAATAGACCCCTCATTCCTCTTTAAAGGGGACCCCAAGTAAGAGAGCAAGAGAGAGATCAGAGATCGCTCTTGCCCCTTAGCTCCTCCTCGACCATCTGAGGCCCGGAGTTTTGTTGGACAACAACCTGAGGCCCGGGCTTCTTCCCGACCACCACCTGAGACCCAGACTTCTGTCAAACCACCACCTAACACCCGGAGTTCTTCCAAACCACCACCTGAGGCCCAGAGTTCTGTCGAACCATCACCCGTGTCTCGGACATCTATCGGACCACCATCTGATGCTCAGACTTCTACCGGACCACCACCTGACGTCTGGAGTTCTGCCGGACCACCACCTGAGGCCCGGAGTTCTACCGGACCACCACATGACGTCGTTGTTCCATCGGACCACTACCTGACGCCAGGAGTTTCACCGGACCACTACCTGACGACGTTGTTTCGTCAGTCCACCACATGAGGCCTGGAGTTTTGCTGGACCACCACTAGAGGCCCGGACTTCTACTGAACCACCCCAGAGTTCTGCCAGACCACCACCAGACGCTTGATGTTGTGTCAGACCACCACCCGACGTCGAAGTTCTGCCAGACCACCACCCGACGTCAGAGATCTGTCAGAACATCGCTCGACTCAAAAGTTCACCGCCAGGCTACCAACTAATGTCCGCATTTTCAAGTAATGCCAGACTTGCGCCATACCACTAAGTGACACCGGATTTTCATCATCGTTTGTCACTAGATTTCAACCATACGGTTGACATTTTTAATCTGATCGCCCTCAGGGACGAGTCAGCCCATTGGAATATACCAAACACTAGTGGAATCATTTCAAATTGGGTCAGCCCCCGTGTTTTTTCCCCTTTCTAGGGTTTTCCACATAAAAAATTTTATGTTCTATGTGTGTGAGATGGATATCCATGCAAACACTAAGACGTATGATTTTTACTCTATCGTCTCGTATATTCTAGCCCGCAACAAAGATATTATGACAAATCTGATCATACAATGTAAGAGTGTTGGAAGTATGAGAGAGAATATCGATAAAACATAAAAGAATAGATAATAAATACTATTTGAGATAACATTTTGGATGCAACAATAGAGATGTGGCAATTAGATTTAGATTCATCCTTCCATTATTATTTCATAAAGATCAAATAATAAACTATTGTACCTATAATATGACAAATCATTCATCAGCACAGATAAAATTTTAAGCGGTATAGGCCTTAGAGATATAATAACTAACATACCAATCAGCAACATGTAGAATCAGTATAAAATCATGAATACCTGAAATTTAAGAAAAAACTTTATTGACAATCAAATAATTAGTTATAGAAGGATTCAAGTCTATGGCACTACTGGCTAGGACATTTTAGTAGAACAAGATTAATGAATTCTAATGGTAATGATAAATATCTAAGTCTAGAATCTATCGATCTCATCCTATGCGAAAATTATATCTTAAGCAAGATGATTTAATCTCTCAAAAATGGGAGAGATTAAAGAACAAAAGGTCAGTTCTATTGCATATCGGTGTACGGAGAAATTATTATGTGCGGTCATTAGACCGTCCGGAGGCGAATCAGAGCACGTCGCATCACTCGGTACACAGCAAAAGTTATGTGGCGTGCTCTGATTCTCCTCCGGATGCTGTCCGATGACCGCATAGAATAATTTTTTCGATGTATGTGGGTGTTTTATATCACTTCCTTGCCTTTACCTCATGTATCAAGTGGAAGCTTGTCATTAAAAGAAGAGATGAAATCTCTTTATATTAGCATATTAATATTGAACAAGATGCTCAAATATAAGAAGGCATTGTAGAATAAATGCATTTAGAAAGTGACATCATATCTGAACCTAATAGTTGGTGAATGTCTACTCCAACTCTCAAGTACAAGATGCTTAAATAAACACCTCAGCTTGACTCTACAGATATATAGGACAAGTTTAGTTAAAACCAGCATGGCCCACTAGCTCTGGGCCCACGAGTCGTTTAGATCTAGGCATGGCGGATCGGGTCAAGCTAGCAGGTTTAGGCCGGGCCAAATTGGACCGTGCTAGATAATTTGGTTTCGTTTGGGACGGATTTCTTATGACTTCTTAAAGATTTTTTAACTAAAAAATTACTTTAAGAAGCAGTAAAAAAACCGTCCCAAATAAAGTAAGTCTGAGCTTGACCAAACCCAACAGTAAAATAGGCTCTTATGCCGATAATCATACATAGAGAGCATCAAGTTAAGGCTGAAAAATTCGGGCCGATTGATCCGGGCAGAAACTCTTTGAGCCCAAATCCAACCTGAAAAAATTGGGTCAAATCATTTTCAAATTGGGGATTGATGAAATCTATACCCGGGTCGATGGGCCAATTTGCATGCCCAGAGCAGTTGACCCTATGTCTTTACCTACAATTTGGGGCCCACCAATGAAAGGATAATTGGGTAGGTATCTGAAAGTCAAATATATATTTATTCAATTAGGTCTATGACAAATGTTTTAAACAAATATCGCTATAACATATCTATAATGTAAATGCTCATTTTATTACCTACCTTTTTATTTAAGCGGTAAACTATCATGTATTAAAGCTCCATTTTGGGACTATTTTCGTGCTACTTTCTGAAGCAGTATTTTAGTACAAATACCTCTTGTTCAAACAAAATTTATATTAAAAATTTACTTTAAAAAATAATAATAAATCTGTCTCAAACAATATCTAAACTGATCTTATGTCAATTAGTTTGATAGTAAATCTTGCTATGTAAAAGACAATTCAATCAATATAGTACAGATCTTGATGCAAATACGTGAATTAAAATATTTTTTGATTGACTAAGGACCGTTCGGACATCTTTTTTGATAAATTTATAGTCAAAATAAAAATTTCGTTAGGAAATTTAATAACACAAAAAAATGAATTGATTTGAGCACAAATAAACCTAAAATAAGTATTGAATGAGTTATTAAGAACTTCATGGCACAATTTAAATGATCAAATGAACCCTGAATTTTGCATGTATATAGCTAAAATGAATTTTTGAATGAGTTGAATCAACCAGCCTAAGATCACTTAAATCAAAAGTCATTAGAGAACTAAAAAACTTTAAAAAAAATTATGACTAAGAAAACTAACACTGAATGTCCTGATAAGTAACCAGAGAACTTAGCAAAAATAACTAAAATTTTACTTTAAAAAACTATAAAAAAGACTCGCATTTTACATGAACAGGGTATGACTCTAATTTTGTAAAATACTTTGTGATTTAAAAAATTCGTGTTTTGTCTAACGATAGACACCATCAATCTTCATTGCCCAAATGCATTCACCCAACTTTCAATTCCCAATCATCGCCAACCAGCATTGATCATTCAACAACTATCTTCTAGTAGAGATGTCTTGCAACATTAGACAACAATCTCATGATTGTCATCTCTCACCAACAGCTCTAACATACACAGACTGAAGTCCTTCTCCTAATAACCACTGTCAGTACTGTTCACACCTTCCCAATAATTTTCACTATATTTACAGATGGCCAAAGTAATAATCCATCGTCCTTCATAATCTTATCTTCTCCAATTGGAGAAAAAAAGTAGACTTATAAATATTCATTTTAAAAAGTAAATTATTTCAACTCAGATTGACCATTTTTTTTTATCAATTCTTCTAAATAAAAACTCTTATATATATTTTTAAACTTCTCTTATCTTAATGTGCACAGATCATTATGCAACGATACATACAACATAAATATTCATTTTATTCACCCTAAAATTTCCAAGGCAATAATATTTGTAATCAAAATTTAAATGATATTCTATGATAAAAATACAGCCTAACATATATTTTTAATTATATTATATAAATCAAATTTGACTTCCTCAAATAGATTATTATTGTCAACTACTCCCAAATTTATACATTTTCTACTACAAATTTGACCATAAGCATTAAACAACAAAAAATATTTTCTTTATTAATTTATTCTACCATACAAATATCTAAAGCTTGAAATTCTTAAAACTAAGCCTATTTTTTTAAATTACAAGTAATTGACTTTGCAAATATCAAAGCTTAACTTTGTGGGATTAATTTATTAAAATAAGGTGTTTTTATCCCAAAAGATTCTCCTTAAATAATTTACCATTTTGC